TGTCCAAACTTTTCATAGTGGAAAGCAGTGCTGTAATGACTCTCCATGGTGTCACTTAGGCTTTCTGCTCTTTTCTCTCTCTCAGCTCTTCTGATTGTCATTGCTACCACTCTGGCCCTGGGCCCATTATCTTGTTCTTGGAAGACCACCTCCAGCTGCTCACTGGGCTCCCTGCTGCCCTGCTGCCCCTCTAATCCACTCTCCACCCAGCAGCCGATGGATCCTGTTGAAATAGTCAGCTTGATTCACGCCTCTGCTCAAAACCCTCCAGAGCCTCCCTTCTGTGTCAATTAAAATTTAACACTGATACAGAGATGTTCATGCCCTTCACAGTCTGGACCCTCTCCTCTACCACATTGTGTCCCTCACTCTCCCCTGCACCCACTGTGTCCCAGGCACACTGGCCCTGTGTTCTGCTGTCACTTCTCAGGGCCTTTGCTATTACTGTCTTCGTGTTTAGCTCACTCTCCCAGGTTATCATATGGCTCATTTCCCCACTCAGCAGGCCTTGCTCTCTTGCCACCTCCTCAGAGAGGTTTCCCCTGGCCACCTTGTGTCCCCCCAGACCACCACTCCTCTCCCACCTCCACCTGTCCCCTTGTCCTCCTTTTCTTTGTCATAAGCCGTATCGTCCCCAGCCATACGATATGCTTTCAGTATCTATTAATTTTCCATCTTCCCCTCCAGAGTGGAAATTCTAAGAGCATAAGGAACTGGTTTCGTTCTTTACTGTATTGTCAGCATCAGCAATAGTGTGGCCCACAGTAGACATCCTATAAATATTTGTTGAATGAATGGATAATGAGGCCAGTCCCATTTATAAAGATCCAGGGGCTTCCCTTGAGTCTTAGAATAAAACCCACACTCCTTACAGAGGTGGACACAGTCCTGAGTGACAAGACCTCCCTTGTGGACGTTACCTTGGGCTCCCTCCTCTGCAGCCACACTGAGGTTCTTCAGGCACACAGAACACCTTCCTGCCTTGAGGCCTTCACATCTCATATTATTTAGCAGTGTTGCACAACAATAGAAACTTAGCTTAAAATAACAAAAAATCTCCCAATTCCTGGAGTTCAAGAAACCATGAACACATGGTGATTTGGTTTTAGGGTCTCTCAGGGAAGTTGCAGGCAAGATGTTGGCCAGGACTGTGGTAACTTCAGAGCTTGACTGGAGAATCCATTGCCCAGGCGGCTCACATGCACACCTGGCCAGTTGGTGCTGGTCCTTGGAAGGAAGCTTCATTTCCTTGCCACATGGTCCTTCCACAAACTGCTGGTGTCCTCACACAGGACAGCAGGCTTTCTCCACAGGGAATGACACAAGAGAAAGCCAGACAAAAGCCACAATGTCTCTTATGACCTGGCCTGAGAAGTTACACCCTCCGCAATATCTAATGAGTGACACTGAACGTGAATGAGCAGACAAAATGTTTGCCATTCCAAAGACTAGTAAGACAATGCTTTAGGATAAAATTTGCAATTTTGTAACTATTTTTGGTGCAAATATCCAAATTAGGTGAAAATTTGTGATTTAATTAATTTGTGATATTGGGAATGGAATCCAAGGCCTTAAGGATGCCACACAGTGCTCTACCACTGAGCTATAATCCCAGCCTTTTTTATTTTGAGACAAGGTATTGCTAAGTCACCTAGGATGGCCTCGAACTTGCAATTTTCCTATCTCAGCCTCTCAAGTAGCTGAGATTACTGGTGTGCCACCATGCTCAGCTTTTTTTTTTTCCAATTAAAAGGAATGACAATACCAAATGTTAGCAAGGATTCAGAGCAACTAGAAATCATGTATCACTGGTAGGAGTAAAAAGTGGTGTGATCACTTTCAAAGCTAGATTAGCAGTTTATTATGAAGTTAAACATATACCTACCATATGACCCAGCAATTCCAGTCCTAATGTTTACTCAAGAGAAGTAAAACCATGTCTACACAAAGACTTATATATGAATGTTCATAGTAGCTTTATTGATATGGTGAAAAACTGAAGACAACCCAAATGTCCATCAACAAATAAATGGACAAGCAAATAGTGATAAGTATATACTGTGGAATACCACTTGGCAGTGAAAAAGAATAAACTACTGGAAACATGCTGCATGATTGCATTTATGTGAAATTCTAGAAAAAATAAACCTAATCTATAGTGATAAAAGGGGCAAACAGTAGCCACCTAAGGCCACCTAAGCATAGGAGGAGTTGACCACAATAGATCACAAAGGAATTATCTTTGTCCAGTGCTGGGGTTTGAATCCAGGGTCTTGCACTGAGCTACATCCCCAGCCCTTTTTTACTTTTTTATTTTGAGACAAGGTCTCACTAGTTTGACAAGTTTGACCTTAAAGTTTCAGTCCTCCTGCCTCAGCCTCTCAAGTAGCTGAGATTACAGGTATGTGCCAGTGTATCCAGTGAGAACTTTTAGGGGTGAGAGAAATGTTAATTGGGTTGGTGCATACACAGGTGTATACATTTGCTAAAGCTCATCAAACTGAATATTTATAAAGGTGTATTTATAAAAAATTATGCTACAGTAAGTTGATACAAACTTTGGGAATTTGTACACGGATTTTGATTGTTTTTGTACAAGGATTTTTATAGCAACATTACTTCAATAGAAAAAAATTTTGGAAATTGTCTGTGACCTAGAGAATGTTTCAGCTCTCTATGGTCCTTTGCCAGCAGAATGGCAAGTTTTGAAAGGAGATGTAGCTAATGTTGGTGAAAACCCTCTAGTGTCCCTTGGGCCTTCCCCCAGGACCTCCCATGCTCCTCCTGGAGGGTCTAGTGGTTGGAGCATGCATGGGGCAGGCCAGAAGTGCCGGAGATTAATACCTTTCAGGGTTTCCCTCACCCAGTGCAGCTCTGGTGGGATGGCTGACAGGTGGGGAGGGTACACTGCCTCCAGGTTCCCCAGCGGACTGAACCCCAGCTGCCCACAATGGTAACTTCTCAACAATCCTCCCTTAATTGGCTGCCTTCCCTTCTCTGCCTCATTCATCCACTTCCTGACCAGTTTTCTGTATTTCCTAAATAAACTATTTTCATTCAAGTCTGTATCTAGGCTCTGCTTCTGGAACTCAAGACCATTGTGTGATACCAAGGATTGGTAAGAATGTGGAGAAGGTGGGAGAGAGAATGGGGCAGTGGCCATTCTGCCAGCAATTGTTATTCATGGCAAAGCAAGTCTTCCAAATATTCTCATACAGGTCCATAAAGGAACATGGATAAGGATGTCCACTGTGGCACTGTTTACACTAACAAGAAACTGTGTACAATTTAGGTGTCCATGACCAGGAGAATGAAAAAAATAAAATGTGTAGGGTATAAACAATGACTACAGTAGGGCTGTGACCTTCAACAGATACTAATAACAGTAATAGAGTGGAAAAAGTAAGAAACTGAGTATCATTTAAGTAAACACACACAAAAAAATGGCCTATTTTTATAAAAAGGGTGAACACATATGCAAGCACATATACCAAACATGTAAGAGTAGGGTCATTGTCTTTCTCATTCACGATTCTGCCCTCTCAGGGAATATCTGCCCATGTTTGGAGACACTTGTGATGATCCAAACTAGGGAGGGGGGTTGGTACTGGCATCTAGTGAGTAGAGCCCAGGAATGCTGCTAAACACCCTACTGTGTGCAGAACAGTTGGTCACAAAAAAGAACTATCTGGCCCAGATACTCAGAGTGCTGAATTTGAGAATTCGTCACACCCCAGACCCCAGAATGGAGCCCAGCACAGCACTGCTGAATGAATGAATGTGCACGTGTATAAGCAAGTGAAGGAGAGGTGACAGTGGCTGGGACTGGCTGGGAGCGGTGGGAACAGACTGATCTCTATATGCTTTGAAAGGCTGTTCCTTAGAATTTAGGGTGACAGTCCTGTCTTTCCCAGAAATGGAAGTGCTCTACGCTTGCATGCACCAGCCCATGCATCTCAGGCCTAGGCCCTCCAGCCAAACTTTCACCCCCTTCCACTTGGCCCTCTGAACTGTCCAGAATCCTGCCCGAAATGAAGCCAGGAGGTTCCTGCAGGAGGGCAGCGAGGAGAACTTTGCATAACGTTTGAATAGCAAGGGAAGGTGGAAGGGAAACCTCTGACGACAGAAGGGCAGGGAAGGCTGGGGATGCAGTGTGGAGGAAGGGCAGGTGGGGGAAAGGCAAGTGGGGAGGGATGGAATGGGGGAAATGGGTCGGAATTTTTCAGGGAGGGCTATAGAATCCTATGCGGGTGATGAGGGTGGGGCAGGGCCCTTCTGAGCAGGTTTAGAATCTTTGAAGAGAGGGGTTAGAATCCTTTGATAGGCGGAGTTGGAATCTCTGAAAGGTTGGAATTTTTGGATGGGTGGAATTAGAATCCTGGAGATTAAAACTCTTGGGAGAGAGGAATCACCTAGGAACAATATTAGAATCCCTGGGGTTAGGATTACAAATCTTTTTTTTTTTTTGTACCGGGGATGGAACTCGGGTCTTTGCGCTTGCGCAGCAGGCTACGAAACCACTGAGCTAAATCCCCGACCCATGGGTTACAAGTTTTGAGAAAGGGCTAGATTTTTTTTTTAAAGTGAGTATTAGTTACCCAGGCTAGTGAGTTTCAGTTCGGCCTGTTGGTGCGTGCATATAACATATGCGATCATCCCCCACATTATCCTCTCCCTCTCCTCCCCATGCCCCTTCTCTAATAGTCTCCTATCTACTTCCATGCTCTTTCCCTCCCTCTCCTTCTCTTTCTCCCTTTTATTCTCTCGCCTTCTCCCCTCCCCCATATTCCTCATATGAGAGGAAACATGCGATATAGACTTTCTGCTGCTGGATTATTTCACTTAACATGATGGTTTCCAATTCCACCCATTGTCCTGCAAACGACATGATTTTATCCTTTATGGCTGAATAATATTCCATTATGAGGGCTTGAATCCTTCATTTGGTTGAATTAGAATCCTTGGGGGCAGAGTTCGGCTCTTGGGAGGAGAGCAGGTGTTGGGTTGTTGAACTCGCGGGATTAGGATCCCTGGGGGTGGGGTTAAAATCCTTTAATCACAAAGTTAGACTGCTGGCGGGATTAGAATGCATTAGAAGAGGTGTTAGGATTTGGGAAGGAGGCATTTAGGATATTTGGAAGACGGGTTAAAAATCCTTGGTGGCACAGTTGTGGGATTAGGTTCCTCCGAGGCAGGGTTAGAAGCCTCCAGTGGGTGACGTTAAAAGAAAAAAAATTCTCTGGAGGTGGGATTTGAATAGCGGTAGCAGAAGCCTGAGGTTAGGATCCTCCTGGAGCTAGGATCCCTTCGGGGTGGGGTCTGATTCTAAGGGGGGCGGTGTTAGGACACTTTGGGGCGGGGTTCGTGTGGCTCGGGGCGCGGCTAAGGCGCCCAGATGCCTGCGGGCGCCCCGGGTCCACGGTTGCACCTCGGAGGCGCGCGGAGACTCAGAAGCGAGCGAGAAGGGACACGCCGGTCACCGCTACCGTGCCCAGCAGCCCCGCGGCTTCGCAGCCCCTCGGAGAGCGGCCCCGCGCCCGTGCTCAAGTCAGTCGGTGCTGTCCAGGCGCGGGCGCCCGGGCCCGGAGACCGCGGAGCTGGGGGGGCGCTCGAGCTGCGAGGATCCGGGCTGCCGGAGAGACGACGAGGAGCCGGCTCCCAGGTGAGGTGGCGTCGGGGCTGGGAACCCCTGACCGGGGGGGGGGGGGCACGGGGTCTTCCGATGGCGGAGGTAGCGCGGGTCGTGGGTGGGGTGGCTGTGAGTGCAGCCGGGGGCGGAGAGGGGAGGAGGGACGTCGGGGAGCCGCGGGACAGGCGGGGGACGAGGGTCTGCGCGAACCGAGGCGCCCGAGTGGCTCTGCGTGGCTCCGCTTCTCTGGGCCGTCCAGGTTCCCCTTCTGAAGGGAAGGGGGGAAAGCGAGAAGCGGGAGGGGAAGGCTCTTATGGTTCCCAGTGTGGGTGGGTGACGGGTCACGCCGGGTTGGCAGCTGGCGTGGGGAAGGGGGCAGCTGGGTAGGGGCGTGACCTGCGAGCCACACCCGGCGGGCTGCAGCTGGGCCGCTCAGCACCCTCCTCCCGCCTTCCTCCTACCCCTCATTCCTGCCCCCTCAGCCGCCAGACGCTGTCAGGTCTAAGTCCAACCTCAGAACCTCCAGGACAAAGACCAAGGAATGTCCTCCCGGTCACTCTCCTGTTTGTGAGACCTTGGCGAGTCACTGTGTCTCTCTGGATTCCAGTTTCCTCATCTGTAAAACGGGACTATTTTAAGTCTTCCTCTGGAGGTTGTGTGAGCTAGAATGTGAGAGGTGATGTTTGTGACAGTTCAGTGTGGAGGTCAAAGGAAGGAACTGCTGGGGGCAAACTCTCTGTTGGGCCTTTCACAGGGGGGATTGGCCTTTTCTGTGCTTCCCTTTCCACAATTTCAGGATGGAGATGATATTAATTAAAACAGGCTGAGTGTTGATTATCTGAAAGGCTGAGACGAGGTGTTTTGGATTTCAGATTTTTTTCAGATTTGTGGATATTGTCAAGTACACAGGGAAACCTTGGAATCTAAACACTAAATTTGTATGTTTCATATACACTTTATACACATAGCCTGAAAGTTATTTATACATTTTTAGTGTGTCTACATTTTTGGCTTTAGTTTTTTCGATTCTGGGGATTGATTGAACCCAGAGGTACTCTACCACTGAGCTACATCCCCAGCCATTTTTATTTTGAGATAGAGTCTTGCTAAATTGCCCAGGCTGGCCTGGAACTTTCTATCCTCCTGCCTCAACCACCCACATAGCTGAGATTACAGGTGTGTGTCACCATACCCAGTTTGGTGTGCCTGCATTTTGTCTGCCATCTGTCACCTGAGGTCAGGTGTGGAATTTTCCACTTGTGGTGTCCTGTCCATGCTCAAAAAATTTCAGAGTTTGGAGCATTTCAGATTTCAGACCTGGGTTGCTCCTTCATGGGTTGTTTTGAAGATTAACTTGAGTACTGAAGGAAAACTCTTGGAGCCCTGTCTGACAGGTCTCAATACCCAATACATGTTAACTATTGTCACCACTGTTACTGTCCAGCCCAGTAGTTCTCAGACTTAATTTGCATGTCCACATCCCCTTGGAAGGCTTGCTAAAAGACCCAGTGCTAGGCCCCAACTTCAGAGCTCCTGATACTGTGGATCTGGTGCAGGACACTGAGAATTTGCATTGTCAGGGAATGCCGATGTTGCTGGCCCAGGCACCCCACTTTGAGAACTACTAGCATCACCTATGGCTGGCCTAGAGAAAGATCTCATCGTTTTGTTTTCATTCATCTTTTTTCGGGGGGGTGGAGTGTTAGAATATGGTGAAGTGAATAATATACTAAATATCCCAGGAATCCACCCTTCAAATTAACAAATGTCAGTGTTTATCCTGTTTGCATCCAATTTTTTAAAAATAAAATTACTAAACATAATAGATAAAATAAGTGTCTCCACCTTGTATTCCTCTTATTCCTATTTCTTTCCCACCTCAGAGGCAACCATTGTCATGGATTCTGGTCCTTCCAGTCTTTGCCTTTATAAATTTATCGCACATGTATTTATGCATAAACAATACATAAAATTGTTCTCTATATTTTAAAGCTCTAGAGCAGTTTCCCTTTATCCACAAAGGATACATCCCAAGACTCCTTTGGATGCTTGAAATCATGGAGAGTATTGATCCACTGCATACAGCACTTTGCAGTCTCTCCAGCATATCTGAATTGGCAACATCAGAATTCTGGTGCTTTGGGACCATTATTAGGTAAAACAAGAGTTACTTAAACACAAGCACTACAACACTGCTGCAGTCTTATCACTGAGACTAAGGGACGAGTGGGTGGGCAGCTCCTATGCCATGGATATGCTGGACCAAGGAGTGATCCACGTCCTGACTGGGATGGAGAGGATGGTGTGAAGTTTCATAATGCAACTCAGAAGAACACACAATTTAAAACTTATGGATTATTTGTTTCTGGAATTTCCCATTTAATATTTTCAGACCACGGTGGACTCCAAGTAACTGAAACTGGAAAACTAAATCATAGATAAAGAGGGACTACTGTACATGAGTATCTGACTCTGAGCTTCTTCTGCAACCTCCTTTCTTGTTATTAAATTGTCAGGATCTATCCAGGATGAGAAACAGAGGTCTAATTCATTCCCTCTGACTGCCGTGCGTATCCCAGAAGGACACCACCATTTTTTCTCATTCTCTTGTTGTTTGACATTCAGGTCATTCCCAGGTATTCACTACAATAAGTAATATCACTGGGTGTGTGGCCTTGGGCACATGTGCAGATATTTCTTGGGGAAAAGCCCAAGAGGCTGGTTGACTCTCCAGAGTGGCACTGTCACCCTTCCCTTTTGTGTGAGAGGAATACGGGGGCCTGGATGGGTCACCCAGGGAGTCTGGGGCAGAGAAGAGAGCAGAGTCTAGCTCTGTGGGTCCCCCAGTTCTCTCCAGACCCATGTTGTTTTCCAGGCCACAGGCTCTTTGCTGCAAGGATCTTTATTCTTCTTCTCTGTGTCTGGTACTCAGAAGGTACTCAAAACATGAAAGCATGGATTTTTAAATTTTAGTACATTCTACAGTCTTCTATGCATATTTTATTTAACATTGTTAGTGGAATGCTGCACATACCCTTTTTACGTTATTTATGTGTTTCGCTTTACATTATAAGCATTTCCATGTCATTATAATGTCCTTGGATTTTTAATGGCTGTATAACATTCTACTGTTTGATGTACCATCACTTGTTTAACCTTTCTAAATTAGCACTCCTGTGTAATTTGCAATTTAAATTTTTTAAATTAAGGTAACATTCGCATAACTTTATAAAATTAACCATTTTAAGTAAACAATTTAGTGGCATTTAGGAAATTCACAATGTTGTGTAAGCACTACCTCTATGTATTTCCAAAATATTTTCATCACCCCAAAAGAAAACTATATATATACCCAGTAAGTAGTTAATTCACAGTCCCTGGCAACCACCACTTTGCTTTTTGGTTTTGGATTAATTTATTCTGCACATTTCATATAATGAGATCACATAATAGGTAACTTTTTTTTCGGCAGACTTCTTTCGCCTAAAAGAATATTTTCAAAGTTCATCCACATGGTAAGAAGTATTGGTACGTCACTCATTTTATGGCTGAATCATTGTCTGGATAGACCACAATTTGTTCATCCATTCATCCGTACATGGAAATTCCAGTTGTTTCCACCTTTCAGCTATTGTGAATAGTATTGTTGTGTACACATAGTTGTTTGAGTGCTGCTTTTCAGTCCCCTTAGGTTTATACTTAGAACTGGAATTGCTAGGTCATATCATCATTCTGTTTAATTTTGTGAGGAATTGCCAAACTGTTTTTCACCGTTTTACATTTCTATCAGAAACATATGAGAGTTGGCTTTCTCCACATTCTCATGAACAATCTCTATTATCTGCATTATTATGGTTATTACTATTACCACCATAGTGGGTGTGAAAAACATTTTTAAAATCTTTATTTATTTGTTATTGTGTGTGTGTGTGTGTGTGTGTGAGAGAGAGAGAGAGAGAGAGAGAGAGAGAGAGAGAGAGATGCAAGGGACCAAATCCAGGGCCTCATGTATGCTAAGCAAAAACTCTACCACTGGGCCAGGGATTTGGCTCAGTGGTTTCGCCACCTGCTGCGCAAGCTCAAGGACCCGAGTTCAATCCCCGGTACCAAAAAAAAAACAACAAAAAAAACTCTACCACTGAGCTACAATGAGAGGCCTGAAAACATGCATCATAATCTCATCCCATCCAGGCCACTGCCTGGGGGCCCTTTCTGCAGGGGATGAGAAGAGTGTCTGCACTCAGGGGACCTTGACCTGTAAACTATTCTAATCACTCTCCAATCATGACCAGGTTTCCTTTCTTTAGAAAAGGAACATGAAGGCTGGAGAGGGTAACTGTCCCACCCACCCAGTGAGTCAGTAGCATGATCTCTTTCACCCTCCATCTTTCTTCACAAACCCCCAGAGCACTTTGCTCCCCACCCCATTTCTACAGCCTGGGCGACATGTGTATGGTCAGAGGTGTGGGCAGTGATGTGGAAAAAACCCTTGTTCCTGTATAAAATGTTTCTTGTTCTCAGTGGCTGTGGCCATACATGCTGTAGCCCTGCATGATGCTGCATCCTCTTGACACCCTGCCCTGGGACTTGCATGTCTAATCCTCCCCCAAAGTCACCACCTGAGCTCCCAGCATCACCCTGAAGTCTTTGGGACCAGAGACAGAGATGTAGCCCCATTTCTGCTAGAGAAATGAAGTGCAATAGACAGAGCTCATTTGACAAACCTGAGCCTTGAATGCACACTCTGCCTCCTCTTAGTTGTGTGCTCCAGGAAAATCCCTCTATTCTCTGAATCTCAGGGGTTTTTTTAATCTGAAAAATGGGTGTGAGAGGGACACCACCTCATGATTCCAGCAATGCAATTCCTTTTATGTGCACCTGCATGCACATACACACACACACACACACACATACACACATATATCCGTGCATGATTTCTATGAGTATTTATGTTATAATTTGGGTTTCCCCAGAAGCAGACCATAGACAAGGTTTCAAATGTAAACAGTTCATTTGGGAGGTGATTTCAGAAA